TTCTCATCTAATCATCTTTATCAACAAGTCATCAAAATGATTTTTGTAAGCCTTTTTCTTAATAAACATTTTCTTTGTCCTATAATGACCATTAAACCTTCCATGGGTGTTTTTGGAATGTGAGAGAATTTCTATAAAGGGTAACAAAATTTTCCCTAGTACCATTTGAATCGTTTAATTTAACTACTTTTTCTTGATTTCTTACTTCTTTTTTTATTTTTAGACGGGTAATAAAATTTTTATGGAGAGCTTTTTTTGTTTTTGTCACAAACCTTTAGGAAAGTCTTTTTAAGATCCCGACAACTTGTCAATGATGGCTAAAATTTACATTTGTTCATTTATACAAAAACCTTCAAAGTGGATGATATGTGCAATCATTTGGAGTTTATAGACTTGATCAACTATTGGGTTTTTTTTTTTTATCAACTATCGATTTTTTTTCATTTATTTAGAACCTAAAAAAAATGACTATAAGAATACTTTTTGGACCCAACTTTTTTAGTGTCATATTTTGATATAGAGCCTTCGAATCTTCTTTACGAGATAAATACTTTTTACTATTGTAATCATAAAGCTCATAAAAAAGACATTTGAGTAAATAATTATAACATGTTATGAAATAATGAATATTCATGAATATTTCATATTCCCAAGATCCATTATTCTTAATGTGATTCAATTCACCATTCAATATAAGAAATTAAAAGGTGATGTAATTTAGTCGGTTATTTATGCATCTTTTAATAGTTTATAGAGCATTTTAATTTTCTTCCTAATCTTGAAGCCTATAAATAGGCATGATTATTCATTAGTTGATATCAAAGTATTTGGTAGAGATTGAGAGATTATTTGAAGTTGTTATCTCTTATATTCGCTTTATCTTATAGTAAATTTATTTTTCTATCATATTTCTCTTCAATTCTACTATTGTTACTATTTTTTTTAATCACAATTATTATTATCCATTACACATTTCTTAACTTCTATCTCATATATATATATATATATATATATATATAAAGTTAGTACACAATCAACATTCAACATGACAAGATAAAATAAAGTTTTTTGTCTCAATCTTTGGAAGTTTGCTCCTCCAAAGTAGAATGACTTGTTAACATCATCCACTCTAATGGAACTTTGCCCATTGAAAACATCAGTGCTCTCCATTGGCTTATGGTCTCAAATTGTTAGAAAATAGAAGAGTATTACCTAATATCTCGAATGAAAATATCAAAATAAATATACTAATTTTTTTATAAGTGATCTGTTTCAAAATAAAATCAAATTATTTTTTTTAATACAATATACATTGTTCAAAAAAATTTCTAATATGACGGATCAAAAAAGTATTATACGGCATTTCGGAGATACAACAAATTCAATCATCTTCTCGCGTCTCATAAGTTTACACTCGCTTATAAAATTTAAAATTAATTAATTAATAATAATAATAATAATATCATTTTTATCCAATTAGAAATTACAAGAAGTTAAAGTAATATGACGTTATTTTGTTAGATGAATAAAAAGGTGTAGACATAAAGAAGATAATGTTTTTCTAAAGTCTCGTGGTACTCGAGTGTTGTTTGGTAATCGGGAATAGAGTGATGGGAATGAGAATTGAAGTTTTATTCCCACATTGTAGTCGTTTGGTTAAAAAGAATGAAGTGAGAATGGGAATGAAAATTTACATACAACTTCATTCCCACATAAAATGTGGGAATAAAAAACAAGAAATGGGAATGAATTTTTTTTTCAAAATAATAATATATTTTATTTATTTATTATCTATTAACTACTTTTGCCATCATCATCACAACTACCACCACCACTACTATCACAACCACAAACACCATTACCACCATCACAACCACACCACTACTATCTTCATCACCACCACCACCACCATCATCATAACTACAACCACCACTACCACTACTAACATCATCACAGCTACCACCACCACCTTAACCATCATTATCACAATCACAACCATCATCATTACCGCCACCGTCACCACCACAACCACTACCACTACTAGAACCACCGTAATCACTACCATCACCTTTATTATTTTTATAACTATTATAGTTTAATAAAATTATTTTTTAATCATTATTTATATTTATATATAAAATCAAATATTAAAAAATTTAAATTGCATTTCGATTCCTTATTAATATTCCAAACACGGTATTGGAATACAAATACCATTCCGATTCCTTAATTTTCATTTCGATTCCTGCATTCTCATCACTTTATTCCCGATTACCAAATAGCACGTCAATGTTTTGTCGATTATCTTCTATATGAAGGCAAGACAACACTATGTAATTAAAAGTCCAAACCTTATAAAAAACTATTATGCTCGTAACATTTTTTTTTATTAAATTTTGAAAACTGTTATGCTTGTAACAGTTTGCAATATTTGAATGGAATTTCAAAACTAAAAGAATATAAAAAGAAAAATAAAATTTAATAACTTGCATTTTTTTTTCGTTTGAAAGAAAACCATTTAGATCAATTAAGGTTATAAGAATATACTTTAGTGTGATATATATATATATATATATTTTTTTTAAAAAAAAAAAGAATTGTAAACGTAACAAAACAATTTAAATTCAAAAACTTATATATATATATCCTGACAAAAAGTTGTATTTCCATTCTTTGTGTTTAAGTAACCTTGTCCCTTAGGGGATGACAAATATTCAACTAATGGATATTAACATCACAACGACATCTCTTGTAATCTTTTTTATCATTCTTATTAGTCAACTATTAAAATACTTTAATAATATTCAATTAGTCATATTTTTGCCAACAATCTTAACTGTAACATATATAGCTACTATTTTATTTTATTTTTAATAATAATAAAGATGTCTTTGAAATAGTTTACATATAAATTGATATTAAATTTTTTTCCTGACATCTAGAACGTACACATTTAATATTGATATAGTATATTTAGAAAAAATTAATAAATTTTTTTAAATGTTAACTCTAAAAATTGAAAAGAAAGAAAAGAATGAAACAAACCTTTTTATCCACCACCCTAATCCAATAAAGTTATAGCTAGCAAATTGTAAGCCGAAAATAATCGAGTAAGAAGGGGGTATGTGAAGGAAGCTTTAGTTCTGAAATAAACAAGAAGGCCTAAACAGATTGCGAAACTGCTAAGAAAACAAACCCATTTAGGTGACATACATCTAATCAACCTTAACCACCCAACAACCCTTTTATCTCATTCATACTCCACCTACGAAGCCGGCTTTTGGACCCAAGAAGGATCTTTGTTTTTTATATTTTCATTTTGAAATAATTCTACTACTAGACTAGGCACATCCCAAATGGGATCGTACAAAACAATTTGGACCACAACATTAAACAATGACAATACGGCATTTAATAATTTCTAGGATTTGAGAATGCTTTCAATTTCAGGTTTTGTTTCTATAAAATGCCAAATGTACCCTTAATTCATACACTCGTGTGTATGATTTATGTATGCATGTCCAAATTTGGGCAAGTAAAGTTTCAAAATCAGTTTTTTTTTTTTAATCCATTAATGCCATAACTATTACGTATGAAGAAAATTAATGGTAGTATAACTATAGATTAGTGAGTTGGATTCCCTCGTTAGTCGTTACCCTTCTTTCTCTTAGGCCATAATAGTGGCCAATTTTTCATTTTTTTTAATCATTTAATAGTTAATTACATTTTTTTCCCCTAAAAATTGCCCATGGGACTAGAAATGTGACAAGTAATTATAATTTTTAATTGTCCATTGAAAATTACAAGATATGAAAGTAACGATCCATTGATTAGGCCTGCCGTACAGCTCTTGCAACGTACTGGTTTGAGTTTTCTTCTGTATCCACGTGGACGCATAATCTGTGAGTTGCAGGTGGTAGCTTTTGCACTGTATAGAAACTCTCTCTCCATAACCTTTTTCACATGCTTACACATTTTAATCTGACGGCTCACCCTCCCTACTGACCGTTGACCTAATTGCACACCACCATCGGTGACTTCTTCAAATAATTTCGGTCAAAATAAAAATCGATGAGCTCATCAGAAAAATAAAAAATCAAAGTGAAATATATATGAAGCAGCCTCAAACGATGCAATGGCGCATTTGTGCTATCTTTACGGCGGGTTTTTTTCGCATCAAACCCGCGTGCATTTTGATTCAGTGGATCTCGCATCCACATTTTTTGACGCCAATAATGAAAATTGTATAAAATATTTTAATAAAAATAATATAATTAGCATTCTTAAAATTTCAGACAAGAATTGTCCTTGAGTCGCCCGTTGCCGTATTCTTAATCCATTCATCGAGTAGAAAATCCCATTATGAGATAGAAAATGACCTCAAACCAATGTGTAACTTTATGACATTTCTCACTACATATTTTATCCCACAAATTAAAAGTACTCGGTTAAGGGGTCAGCTAATCCAAGATACAGATCATATGACATGAGCATGTGACACCAACTAATTGCTGAGTAAAAAAGAAAAATTGATAAATTAAATTTGAAAAGGGTTTAATACACTTCGTATATTGTACTTTAACAAAATTATTATAATAACTTCTATACTTAAATATAATTTATAACCAACTTTATATTATTAAAAATTGATGTAAAATAACCATCCGTTATGTTTTTTCGTTAGTTTAACTAACTTCTATTAGTTGATTATCGAGAAAATCACTACCGTATTAACATTTATTATTTTAATGATGAAAGCATAATGCTTTTTTCTAAATTAATTTTTGAACAATTTATTCTAAGCTAAAATGACGAATAATAATTTTAAAATCATTTAAAATTAAAAAAAAAAAAAAACACTTCATCTAACCCATAAATCATTATTGTTTCTCTTTAAAAAAATATATATATTAACCATTGTAACCAAACTCGGAAATTTGTGATTCACCAAGAATAACCAATGTATCATTGTTACCATTGTTATACTCCGCATTCCCACAATGGTGGCATTGCATTTAGTTCCAAAACTACCAACATCAAGAATGTCGGCAGAGTTGTTATTACCATTATTGACTATGGTGGCATTAGAAGTAGAGCTAGGAGTGCTTGAGTTATTCAATTTACTATTTGTTTTAGCCAACAAAATTTCAGGCTATCTAAAAGATTCTGCAATTCTTCAATTGAATTAGACTTGTCAAATTGTTCGAACTCGTATGAACATTCTTCTTAAGGTACAATGTTTTTATTCTTGTTTTGCACAAGAGTGCTAAACTCAATCTCCAAAGTCTTAATTTCTTCACAATGCCTCGTTGTTTCATCATTGGCTGCTTCCAGAGGAAAAGAGCCATTGAGGAAGGTATCGAAGACAGCATCAACAGAAGAATGACCAGAGGAAAAAACTCTCTCCTCAGAACAAATCTAGGTCACCATAATCTCAACTGGAGTGTTACAGATCACGCACAACTTTATGGCCTTGTTGAATAGATTTCTAGGTTTGGTTACGACCGTGATGAAAAATTTTATAATACTAAAAAATAATTAATGTCATATACGGTAGTCATTTCATGAATTTATTGTCATAGAGATAGATAGACATCTAAAAAAGAGAGAATTACATCCGAATTCATCAAAAGTAATAAGAAGATTTCTACATTCGTTCATTTTTTTACAAAAATTTTTCTTTTTTTTTTTTTATTTATCTATTTCTCTTTATGAAGTGGGTTTAATGGTGACTATGTTTTTCTTAAGGGAAACAATACCGATTTTTAGGTGAATTGTTTTTTATTTTTTTAATTTTAAATTATTTTAAAATTATTATTAGTCACTTTAACTTGAAACAAAGTGTATAAAAACCAAATTAGAAAGAAAATTATGTTTTTACCCTCAAAACGATAAGTATCGATATTGTATTAGTTTTTTTTAATCAACTAATAAAAGTTAATCAAAATAATAGAAAAACACGTTGAAGATGTTAATTTACACTAACTTTCAATAATATAAGATCAATTATGAATTATATTTGATTATGAGGATTGTAACAATAATTTTGTTAAAATACAAGGATATAGGGTGTATTAAATTCAATTTCAAAATCTTTACCTATTTGGTTGCAAATTTTACTTCAAAGTTAATAAATCTCAAATAACGTTTGTGTTCCCATTTTTTAAAGATTGAGGATTCTTGTGAGGGGAAAAAAAGAAAAGAAAAAAAAAGGTAAATCTAAACGGATACTATTTACTCGACCCCAAAAATAAAGCCGAAAAAGGAAAAATAATAATAATCATTGTCCTAAATGAAGCAATTAACTAATCCACCTGGCTCCTGCTAATCATGAACTAATGTCTCTCGCCTCACCTCCTCCCTCTTTCCTCTCATCACTGTCTTATGTATCAAAAACACAGCAACAGCCACAACCACAGGAAACCAATAATAATCAAAAACCAAAACCAACCAACATTTTCATTCTTCAATTCAAAGGAATCTCTCTTCCTCTTAAACAAATAAAAATCACACCTTAACAAACTTCAAGCAAACTCAACAAATACCTCTTCTTCCCTTCTCCTCTCACAAATCCCTCACTTTCTCTCTCTAAGCTCGTACCACTTTAGAGAGAGAAAGATAGCCTAACAAAAAATGAAATTCTCTTTGTTACAGCAGAGCTACATGAACCGCCGAAGCGGAAGTTTCAGAGGAGCATCAGCGCCGTTAGATTCATCAACAGACAATACAATCAAATCACCAGCCGCTATTTTTTGGCTCGTTTTACACGGCCTTTGTTGTCTCATAAGTCTCCTACTCGGCTTTCGCTTCTCTCGTTTAGTTTTCTTCTTCCTCTTCTCCACCTCCACCACCACCACTCTCTATGTGACGGCACCGTTTCGCCCTCTCACTGAAACAACCGCCATTTCTAGCCCCTTAACTAATAGTGTTAATGATCTCCCGGTTCGAATTCCGGTTATTAACAAAACGGTGAGTTCGAGTTCGAGAGTTGTTGTCGGGCGACACGGGATCCGGATCCGGCCATGGCCGCACCCGAACCCGAGTGAAGTAATGAAAGCGCATCAGATAATAGAGACAGTTCAAAGAGAGCAAAGGGTTCAGTTCGGTGTGAAGAGTCCTAGGACTCTTATTGTAGTCACGCCTACTTATGTGCGGACTTTCCAGACTTTGCATTTGACTGGTGTTATGCATTCTCTGATGTTGCTCCCCTACGATGTCGTCTGGATCGTGGTGGAGGCCGGTGGGGTTACCAATGAAACTGCTTCGATTATTGCCAAATCCGGTGTTAAGACTCGCCATATCGGATTCAATCAGAAAATGCCGAATTCTTGGGAAGGAAGGCACAGATTGGAGACTAAAATGCGGCTTCGTGCTTTAAGGTTAAGTTTCTTTTCTTTTCTTTCCTTTTTTTTTAAAATTGATTTATTTAGTTTAGTTTGTTTAGCAGTCAATTTTGAATTGAATTGCTATTTTTTTTTAATGTTAATTTTGGTGCTGTGGAGCAGAGTTGTGAGAGAGGAGAAGATGGATGGAATCGTGATGTTTGCGGATGATAGTAATATGCATAGTATGGAGCTATTTGATGAGATTCAAAATGTGAAGTGGTTTGGTGCTGTTTCGGTTGGGATTATTGCTCATTCAGGTGGTCGTGATGAGTCCTTATTAGCTGCGGCTACTACCGCTGAGAAGGGGTGGAAGAGAATTTGCCTAATCCAGCAATGCCTGTTCAGGGACCAGCTTGTAATGCGTCTAACAAGTTAGTTGGTTGGCATACCTTTAATTCATTGCCGTATGAGGGGAAGAGTGCGGTTTATATTGATGATAGGGCTACAGTGTTGCCTAGGAAGCTGGAGTGGGCTGGGTTTGTATTGAATTCGAGGTTGCTTTGGAAGGAAGCTGAAGATAAGCCAGAATGGGTTAAGGATTTTGATTTGGTTGGTGAGAATATAGAGAGTCCTTTAGCTCTGCTCAAGGATCCTTTCATGGTGGAGCCACTTGGGAGCTGTGGGAGACAAGTTTTGCTTTGGTGGCTCCGTGTTGAAGCTCGTGCTGATAGCAAATTCCCTCCAGGGTGAGTTTTTCTTATCCTTGGTGGTGCAAATTTTTTTAGTTTTGCATTGCGCTGCCAATCTCGATCTAGATAATATCTGTGGGAGTAAGTTTTCAGTTTTCTTTAGCATTGTCTATTCATTTTAATTGTTCAGTGTCTATTTTTGCAAATTTGTAGACAGCGAGGTCCAGGAAGTTAAATTATAGGAGTGCGTAGATAAGAATTTTTGTGTGAACTTCTATTGTACTGCTCATGTGTAATTTTTGGGCTAAATTTAGTCAACAAGTTCTGCCTCAAGTGTCATAGCTGGTAAGGATGGTTTCAAAAAATGAAAGAAAAAAGGTAGAACAGAAAGAAAAACCTAAAAAATTTCTGTAAACTAACTTACCTGCCAGTTTATGCCACCCAAACCATGACTCGTGACATTGCATTGAAACATAATTACAAATGGAACTCATGCATCTTACATAGGCTGTTTATGGTTCTTGGGCCTGTGCTATAGCATGACTTTGTGTACCAGGAAAAAAAGGAATGAAAATAGAAAAGAAGATTGGCTCCTTCATGATGTAATGAAAAATTCACCTCCTTGTTATTGTGTCAATAGTGTTGATGAGCTAGCCTAATTCTTGGTTTTATACTGGCTGGTGTACCAAAATGTTGATGCGCCATTTTAGGGATGCTCCTATTTGTTAGTTGATTTGTGTGCAAGTTTCACTAACAAATGCTTACAGATGATTCTTCCATTTGTACAAAACTGCAATATTTTCACGATCTCATGAACTCCCTATTGTTATAGCCAGGTTTCGGTATTTTCTAGATAGTTAATTTTGTCCATCCACAATGTAGCTGATTCATTACTCTCTTCATCCCACAAAGAGTGCCCATCTGACTATTTTTAGCTGTTCCAAAATACATATCTAGTCAGAATTAGTCACTTTTTTTTTTCTATTATACCCCTTAAAGTTCTAAATAGAATCCTTTCTTATTGAAAGAATAAAGGGGCATTTGTGGAAAACCTGTGGAAAAAATGAGCTGGCATTGTATTTATTGAGTTTTCTTAGAAAGTGTGAAAAGTCAAACGGGACATTCTTTGCGGGAGGGAGGGAGTAGTATTTAGCTTTTGGGTGAGAAAATATAGACTCAAGCCTACTGGAAAATGTGAACAAGTAGATGTCTGAAGTTTAGGATTTAGAATGATTGTGTTGTTACATGCTGATGAAATGGATCGCATGCATCTTTTATTGCTGCTGAAAGAAATTGGTGGTACGTAAGCTCATTGAGAGGTTAATATTAGTTGGTCAGGACTTGGGAAACACTGACAAAATTCCATTATCGTAGGCATTTTAGGAGCTGCACATCCTGCCTCATTCATTTTGTAGACAGGCTTTCATAATCAGCATGTGCTCTTTGATATGTTGAAAACTTCTCCTTCCTTTGCCTAAATCCCATTAGCTTAGGCTTTCGTGATCAGTATGGGTTTTCCATCGAAATATTAGGCCCTAATGATGTGTGTTTACCTGGCTGGCATCACTCAGTGTGGTCTCAGACTCTTACTGATATCAGGCTGGGCCTTGCATTGCAATTTCCTTGCTGAGGCCATCCAGACCTGGTCCTTTGTAGTCAATTTGTAATGGAAGTGTTATGCTTCATTCTCAAGCTTATTTTACTAGTTATCAAACAAGCTCAACATACCTGGTTGACTGACCTTACTGGCTATATGTTACTTGTACGGATCTAATTGTAAATACGCCACCAAGTGATATTGTGAAATCAGTTATATTTCTACCTGTATGTTTTTTCCTAAAATTGCCTTTGTAGTCAAACTTTTGTATCTAGATATTTGTGCCCACTAGTTCAGTCCTTGTTGATCATGGAATGTATTACTTGGGAATGCTAAATGGTTTCTCATCCTCATATCATCTTTTAAATAGGAATATAGAGTCTGTTTAGCTGTTGGATTCAGTAGAAATGAAACCCATTGTAATTTCCTGAAAGTCTGACTCTAATACTTTGTCTGCTTACAGATGGATAATTGATCCACCTTTGGAGATTACTGTGCCATCGAAACGAACACCATGGCCCGATGCTCCTCCTGAACTCCCTTCCAGCGAAAAGATAACAATTAACCAAGAACAGACTGTTAAGCGTTCTTCAAAGACTCGATCACCCAGATCAAAACGAAGAAGCAAGAGAAAGCATGAAGCAAAGTTGGTGGAGACACAGGTCTCTGCAAGGCGTTCTGAACAAAACTGAAACAGTAGCATAAGGACACATCAGAGATGCTGCCTTGTGAATTTGAGACCTCTGGCCTTCAGCATGAAGAGATTTTATTGATAAAGCAAAGGCACATGATCTTAATTACCAGGTTGGTGGCTGTTACATCGGAAAGTAATTCGTTAAAGCTAGGCCAGTTGAAAATGTTCGTCCACCATCGCTTCACATTATTTTGCTGTTTCTTTTTTTCCTTCTTTTTTTTTTTATCTCTACATGTTGGGGTTGATTGGTTGATATTCTATGGAAAAGGTATCCCATCGTAGTCTCCGTACCTTTGCTGCCAAGAAATACCAGGATCATGTATCTGATATGCGTTAAATTTTATACATAATCTTCTAAATAGGAATATAGAATCTGTTCAGCTGTTGGATTCAGCAGAAGCGAAACCCATTGTAATAAATTTTTTTCATTGCTTGCAAAGATGATGATGATGGTGAATGTATTTCGCCTATTTGGACTGATTTGATAGAAGGACATAAAATCCGGCACGAACCTCTAAGATTTTGGCCAAATCTAAAATTGGTTGTCCAATTTGACAAGAAATATTTTGTAAATTACAGCATTTTTCATGGAGAATTTAATGAAACATAATTCAAGTAGTGGAATGTGGCAGTGGATAAGACAGCAGCATAAATGTCTGTTTGGACCGTTAGCTACACCTACTCTAAAAAGGAGAGGATAAGATTCGGTGCATTATATACTACAGTTAAAATCTTTGGCTGAAGAAGCAAGAAACTTGTACAGGCAAACCCTGCTTTTCTTCTTCTTCTTCTGCTTCTGCCTATGGATAAAGGTAGATTTTTTTTCTTACGTATGTGACAACATAAATAGAATTTAGGTTAATTGTCTGTCGTTAGCAAGTGGTGTTATGCATCTATCAAATTCTTGGGGCCTTCTTTGAACGAACTTATAATAATAGTAGGTTGCATATTACTTGGAGTTTGACTGTCAGCTTTTTCTAAGTTTGACTGTCTGGTAATAGAAAAACCATGCCCCGCAAGGAGTCTGTAAAGATGAATATTCGATGTGGTAAAATCTAATTTGCGATGATGACCAAAAAGACAATGTCCTTGAATCATTAACTGCTTTCAACTGATTTTTAGGGTAGGAGAAAACTAGTGCGACTAGTTGCCAACCGAAGGACTCGGATTTATCTTGTATTTCCAGTGACCAAAAACAACCCACGACGAAAGTGGTCGTAAGGTGTCTCTTACTCCTATTTCTACGAGTTAGGTCTCATTTCCCTTTCTTTTTCATCTCAGAGTAAAACCACATGTATGTGTCAGTTTTACTTGTAATTATGCACTAAACTTGGACTTGGATTATCATGGTCAAAATCATTTCATTGCCTTTATAAACTCACACAACCCTATCCTCCTCTTCACACCTACTCTCTTCATTCACCAATAATATTCTCTTTTCAAACCAATATTCTTCTTTAGCAATCCCAAGTATGGCACTTGCCATATCAACCCTTCTCTTCCTTTTGTTCACCATATCATCTGCCTTGGACAAGTCAATCCTAAACTATAATGACAATCACCTAGACCATGATCAATCAAGCTGGAGAAGCGATGATGAGGTGATGAGTATATACAAATGGTGGCTTGCAAAACATGGTAAAGCATACAACAAGCTAGGAGAGAAAGCTAAGAGGTTTGAAATCTTTAAGAACAATTTGAGGTTCATTGATGAACATAACTCCCAAAACCATACGTACAAAGTTGGGTTGACTAAGTTTGCTGATCTTACCAACCAAGAGTACCGTGCCATGTTTTTGGGCACGAGGAGTGATCCTAAGCGTAGATTAATGAAGTCTAGAAACCCGAGTGAAAGGTACGCTTTCAAGGCTAGTGACAAGCTGCCAGAATCCGTGGATTGGAGAGCAAAAGGAGCAGTTAATCCGATCAAAGATCAAGGAAGTTGTGGTAATTAATGAATAATTAATTTCTTTTCGTTTCTTGATCATCTACGAATAGCTTATATTTGCATGTGCTTTCTTCTTCTTTTTTTCTTTTTTGGTATTGCTTTTTAGAAATTAGGAGCCTCCAGACCCTTGGGGAGGGGAAGCTTAACAATCAACTCGGCTAGTTTTCCTCGTAATGAATGTCATTTTTAGTACAAGAAAGGTTTCACTGCCTATTAATCACACTTACAATACAAATCTATATTTCCATCCCTCGTTCATTTTGGATTCTGAATTCTAGTCTCTTGTTGTTCGAACTAAAGTGTTAGATTAAAGATTTCATATTATGTTGCACAAAATTTCCGTTAGCAAAAAATATTAGGGTGGTTGAACTTGAATTAGTAGGATTTGGTTGGCGGCAGAATGGTAGTTATTTCATGCAAAATGGTAGTTTTGACCGGTAGTTTTTGGACCATTTGGTTAGACAGATTACATGAAATGGGCCGGTTCAGCATTATCACAGCCCAAACTTAGATGTTTTGGTTGCGGCCCAACTTCTGCAAAAGTCAGTTAATTTGCCACTTGCCACCACTCTTGTTGGACCTGGGCTAGGCCTACAATTCTAGTTGAACAAAAATTGGATCATGATTAGCCCAACTAAGTGACAGAAATTGTTGATGCATGCAGGTAGTTGCTGGGCTTTTTCAACAGTAGCTGCAGTAGAAGGAATAAATCAGATAGTAACAGGGGAGCTAATCTCTGTGTCAGAACAAGAACTTGTAGACTGTGACAGGTCCTATAATGCAGGTTGCAATGGAGGCCTAATGGACTATGCATTCCAATTCATTATCAAAAATGGTGGCCTGGACACTGAAAAGGACTATCCATATCTAGGATATGAAGATAAATGTGACAAAGACAAGGTCAGCATTATAATATTCCAGAAATTAATTATAATCAACCCGGTGTCTTGGGTATTGTTTTGTTTGCGGTTAACGTTTTGGCGTTATTGCCTGTTTTTGGATTTTATCAGATGAAAACTAAGGCTGTTAGCATTGATGGGTTTGAGGATGTCATGCCTTTGGATGAGAAAGCATTACAGAAAGCTGTGGCACATCAGCCAGTCAGTGTTGCCATTGAAGCCAGTGGCTTGGCTTTACAATTCTACCTGTCTGTAAGTTGACTCATTCTTTAGTGCTTCCTAAAATCAATTGGTTCTTAATTTTAACTCATGAATTTGTGAAGTACTTGTTCGTTCTGTCCTGATTTACTCAGGGAGTGTTCACTGGTGAATGTGGGACGGCTCTAGACCATGGTGTGGTTGTTGTTGGATATGGCACAGAGAAAGGTTTGGATTATTGGCTTGTTAGGAACTCATGGGGCACAGAATGGGGTGAGCATGGATATATCAAGATGCAGCGTAACACCGGCAGATGTGGAATTGCAATGGAACCTTCTTACCCAGTCAAGAACGACCAGAATCCTGCTAAGCGTTACTTGGCTAATGAAAGAGCAGGGGAGAAGATCAGCAGCGCTTGAAGCATCTTATATGCTAGCTGTATCAAGCAAAACAAGAATGCAAGGTGATTAAAAGTAACAATTGATGGTTGGTGAGAATGTGTGTTGATTTATTGTGCTCATCATAAGATTCTGATGCTTCTTGGTCTAAGTTTGCCATTAAGGACAATAAGGCTAGCTATTCATGTTTCATTCAAATTCCATTCATGATTGTCGTTGTGTATATATAGTTTTTCATTGTCAAAACAGCATCTAAAAGTAAATGTTAAGTACTTATTTCTCTTGGAAAGTCCATCAATACTTAATTTGTGCATTACATCGATCTGCACATATATGTTATGATGAATATTGCTTGCTCTAGGATATTGTACTACTATTCAAGGATATCCATGAATCATAACGCCTCAAAGGAAACAAGTTACAATATTTTATGCACTTGAGAACCTATCCCACCAACTCATCAATCATTTCTCTTAAAAGCTTGAGCATAGAAATTTGAGAAGAATATCATATGCTTAATGGCTATATATATATATATATTCTCTTTGAATTTTTTATTAAAACTCTTTATTTTTTATCTGTTTGATGGAGATTTTTTATTTTTTAATATTTATTGATTCAGACACTCTATTATAATGTGACCAACTATTCATCGGATGAAATATGTTACCTTTAATGACCATCATTTAGTGATAAACTTGTAGTGTTGTAAGTATCAAATAATAGTGCTTTCTAGCTTCCGAAATTAAAAAAAAAAAATTAATAAAAAAAAAGTGAATTATAAATTAGTCCCCCTTGTTTTAAGAAACAAATTAATTAGTCTTTTTTTTTCAAAAACTAATTATTTGTCTCTATGTTCTTAAATCTATTTGTAATTTAGTCTTTTTTATTTTTTTATTTTTTTTGATTTTTTGTTTTAAAAAAGTAAAAAGAGGAAAAAAATATAGAAAGATTGATGAGAAAAAGAAGATATTTTGTAGAATAAAAATAATATTAAATTAAGAATATTAATACTAGTTAAAAAAAAACTAAATAATAGTTTTTTAAATGAAAAGGATTAATTAATTCATTTTTTGAAACTAAAGAGACTAATTTATAATTTATTCAAAAAAAATAATACTAAGAGTTACAAAATCAATAAAAAGACTAATTTGTCCCCACCCTATTATCCCAAAATCTATCATTTTTTTCTTTTTCAAACCTGTTCTCTCTCTTTCTCCACGAACTCAAAACTCAAACAAACCATAATTTCAACATTCTTCCTAAGTTTACCATGGTCGTACCTACTGCTAAGCTGTGACGTGACAATTGGTAAGCTGAAAGTCAAGAAACAAGTTATGAAACTAATTAGGTTATCTACACCTTAAAATAATTTCAGGGTTATTGCTTTCCTTGCTGTATTGGCTGTGGATGAATTTTAGACATTTTAAGCAGCCTTTTGTTGGTGAATCTGGACCTGAAATCTTTGACATGTTGCAACATTTTGTTGTCCACACTACACCAAAAAAGGATATTATGGGTGATTTTTTTATCTTTTAGATGCGGTTATAACTACCTTTGCATATTGTAAGAGTGGTTTTTTAAACCGTCTCAAAACCGCTTACAATGTCGTTGTCTCTACGATGTAGAGACGATTTTGCCAATCATCGGGAAATTTTGAGGTGGTTAGTTGAGACGGATTGAAGCTGCCTTAAATTATTTTCTTTTTAGGCAATTCCGACCACCTCTATGATGTCAATTTTATTTTTTATGATCTATTGGCACGTAATTTTTAAGACGAGTTTAGAACCGCCTCTACGTTATCGCATTTATTTTTTAAATTTCGCACAAAATATTTAGGACGAGTTACAACCGTCGCAAGATTTAAAATTTATATTTATAGAGATAGTTGTAACCGCCTCAATTTTCGAAATCATAGAGGCGAGATTTTAGAATTCATAAAGACGGTTCTTTACCTACCTTTAGGATGATAGTTTTATTTCACCTTTAAATTCAATTATTTTCTTCTTTTTTTTGGTCAAAAAACAAATAAATAAATAAAAATAATCTTGTTGAATGCAAATAAAAAAAAATTATACAGCTTACGCAATATTTTTAAATTTACAATTATCAAATTTCAAATACATAATAAGTCGTCAAACATTTACAAGTGAAAAAAAAACTGAAGGATTAAACACTTGTTTGAAATACATAAACAAAATTCTAAATATATTTTAAAATAAGTGGCTAATGTTTTTTTTTTCAAAAAAACAATTCTCATGTTTTTATAGAAATGTTTCATTTCGGCAGATGACTTGATTGTGATGAACGAGTAAGAGAAGTAGTATTTTGACTATTACCATCATTGCAAACCTATCAAAAGCACAATTTGAAAGTGAAAGAAAAATAATAATATAAATACGAGATAAAAACTCATTAAAAATATTTTAAGATTAAGAAACATGTTAAATATTTAATTAAAAGTATATGATATCCGAGTAGGATTCAATAAAGTAGGCATCAAATTTTGATTAGGATATCCTTCTATAATGAAAGCGGACACAACGAGTTAATCTCACGTTTATTACATTTATATTTAGATTCCATTATATCATATTGTATAAATGGCAAAGATGGCATGAAGAATCAACTGTAATATATAATCCTGGGCTAGGCTAATTATTATTATTATTTTTTTACATTTAAAATATAAATGACTATTGACTACAATGCTTGATAACAATAAGATATTAAGACATTTTGTAATCTCACAAGAAGTTCAAATGATTGGATGTAGAAGAGTAGAACTTCGTCTCATCTACTATATTGAATAAGAAGTGCATCATTTTAGTCATTGCAAGAAACTAAGCACTACATGCCATTCTAAATTTAGGCAAACCAATTACAGTTCTTCTCTTTCTGCCTCTATGCTGGAATTTCTGTATCAAAAGCAAACTTACCCAATCCTAAACCCATCAAAACAAGAATTAAAACCAAAGTTTGTCGTAATCCAAGAGCATAAAGGATCTCATGCAAAATAAGGGTTCGACCACCACGCAACTATAATTTACACGTGCCAATCCTTTTGACCTCTACTTTATTATTGGTAGCAACTAATAGTCACTTAACTTAAAATTCCACAACTGCCCCCTTCTCATTGGCTACGTGGTTTGTGGCCCCTAAATCTACAATCGACAAAGAATTAGATTCAGCTTGTAAAATAAAGCTACAAGCATTTATAGGACACTCATGTGCATAAATGGTTTATACTTTCTTAGATTCAGTGTATTCATTATTGAAATGATCCTTCTTGCTACAGTTATAGCATGCCATCTTCACTTTATCCTTTTTAACAAAAACCTTAGGTTGTTCAGTCTTCAGCTTCTTGTCAGCTTTCTTCCTTTTTCTTATGATACCATGGTTTGCACTTACGCCTAAAGCCCAAACCCTTTTAGCGTTAGAAGCAACTGTGTATATCTTTGCATCAGTATTATTTGCCTTAAGACAATCCTCTTTCAACTCTAA